AGAGAGGGAAGGTTTTCCCCACCTGCATCAAGACTTCGAAGAGCTTCACGAGGTCCTCGGGGCGGGTCGCTTTCTTGGGCACCTCCTTCCCCCCGGCGATGTTTGCGAAGAACTCGGTCTGGAGCTTCTCCTGCAGCTGGGAGACCAGCAGGAGATCTCGCTCCCTCGTCCGGAGGAGGACGATGCTCTGGACCATGTTCCTGACCTGCTGGAGGGAGGCGGTGAGGGCGTCGTCGCAGTCCTTCCCCCTCTTGAGGTTGTTGGAGATATCATCCCTGATGAGCTGCTTCGCGTCCTCGAGAGCCATGAAGATCTTGTCGTAGATCGCCAGCTTTCCTTCTGTACTCTCCGCCTGCTCCAGCTCGAACTGCGACCCTTCTGCTGAGAGGATGTGCTGGTGGATAGCTGGGTTGTCCACAGAAATCTCCTTCCCCATCCAGTGCAGGATATGAGCTGCCGCCGCTTGCTTCTTCCTCGCCTCCGCCAGGCTCTTCTCCAGCTTACCCTTGAGCATATCGCCTCCCGACTTCCCGATCTCCATCAGCACTTGACTCTGCTCCTCCAGGTTGCTCGACCCCCCCTGCAGGGACGGTGAGGAGCAGCAAGGAAGGAGGGAAGGGGACGGGGAGGAGGAAGAGAAAGAGGCTCATGCTTCAACGAGGAAAAGTCTCAGCACAGACTTGATGTCTTCATGTCTCCTTATGTGTAATCGCAGCCCCACAGAGGAGAGAAAGAGGAGGAGGAAGAGAAGGAGGAAGAGAAGGAGGAGGAGGAGGAGGAGGAGGAGGAAGAGAAGGAGGAGGAGGAAACGATGTGCCTCCTACCTCTCTTGACACGTTGTAACGACAGTAACGGACCGAAGGCTCGATCTCCTCCACCCTCAGCAGGAAGTCAGCAGGGCCCCAGCACGACTCCAGCTGCTCTCACCTCTTCCTGTACATCGCTTGCTCGACCCCCTCCGCTGAGTGGCTCAGCTCGTCGTAGACGGTCCGGGAGCGGTTCAGCTTCACGAGCGCCTGCTCCCACTCCTCCCTCTCCAGGAGCATGCTCCCTGCTAGCCATGCGGCGTACGCCTGCGACAGAGTTGAGGAGAGAACTCAAGTGTCTACATGCTTCTCCTCTTCTTCCCTCCTCCCCTCCTCTCTTTCCACGTTTTTCCTCTCCCTTGCCCCCTACTTTCCTGTCCCCCTTCCTCCCCTCCCCTCGTCTATCCCCACTTCCCGTCCTCCTCCTCCCTCACCTCTGCCTCCAGGCACGAACGATCGTCCGCAAACTCCCGGCAGAGAGTCTCCAGGTAGGCGGAGTGCTTCACTGCCTTGGCCAGCAACCGGCTGACGTGATGAACTTCCCGTCCCGGCCCCCCCGGCGCCTCGCGCAGCTGCATCGCGTACGACCATGCTCGCTCTGCCTGCGAGGGAGAGGTGAGGAGTGAGCGAGACGATGAGCGAGGAGAAGAGGAGGAACGTCGGGAGCACAAACAGAGGAGGGAGAGGTCGAACATGTGGGTCAAGCAAGCGACAAGAGGGCAGAGGAGGAGGAGGGAGGGCAGGAAGAGGAGGACACATCTCACCTTGTTGAGCACAATGAAAAGATATCTGGCATCGTTGATCATATCTATATCGATCTTCTTCTGGATAAATTTGCTTTTCCCCTTCCCCTGCTCCCAATGCAGAAAGTTGAGAGCTTTTCGCAGCCTGCGCATCTTTCGCGTGCAGTATTGTCTACGATAGTCGTCAGCTCCTCCTCTTCCACACCACCATCACGCTCTCTCCATTCCTCGTTGCACGTCAGACACAAGATACCACACAAGACCACGTTAATGTTCATGTACAGCACAAACACATCTCAAGTGATTCGATCCTTTTCCATCCTCTTCCTCACAGCACAATTCACCTGTATCGTTGATAATCTCCATATCGCAGCCCGTGCAGTCCTTGCGCTTCAATGATGATCTGGAGGAGGAGGAGGAGGAGGAGGAGGAGGAGGAGGAGGAGGAGGAGGAGGAGGAGGAGGAGGAGGAGGAGGAGGAGGAGGAGGAGGAGGAGGAGGAGGAGGAGGAGGAGGAGGAGGAGGAGCCGTCAGGTAAAGGCAGGTCGAAGTGATTCAGCATCAAACCTTGAGGACAGGGATGTTGAACTTGGGCAGATCTTTCCGCACCGGCTCAACCGTTTCGGCTTGGACCTGAGCCAGCAACGCAGTCAAGGTGATAGGGCGGTGCAACAACTTCCCTCACTCCCTCCGTCCCCCAACCCCCCTCCGTCGCCGAACATGAACGGAATCAGTCCACAACACTCGACAAATGTCTTGGAGACAGCTCGGTCATGCTGCAATCTCATGAAGCTAAATCTTAATTATTCTCCAGGTGATGTTCTGACATCCTAACACATGATGTTGACGATGTCCAATCGTTTGTCATCATCATCTTCACAACATCATCATGCCTCCGCCTCCTTGCTACAATCTTTTCACCCAGCTATGTATTCTCCTTCTCTTTCTCCCCCCACCTCGTCCTCAACAATCTTCATCCTCATCCTCGTCCTCCTCATCCTCGTCCTCATCCTCATCGTCGTCGTCGTCATCATCATCATCATCTCCTCCTCCTCCTCCTCCCTCCTCCTCCTCCTCCTCACCTCAGGCTCTTCTGCCGCCATGGCCTCGCCTTCACTCACCCCAACCTTCATGCCACCCCACCCCCGCTAGAATACCACCCATCTCACTAAGAACCCGTACCTTGAGACTACCCCTACCATAGTCAATACCACATGGGACCCATCTTTTACTCCATCATTCACCCCACCCCATGGACATGAAACTCACATACCCCTACGACCTAGGGTCCATGTCCTTTGGACACCACCCTACCCACTGTCCTCCACAATCACGTGCAGGAGGTACCCCCTTCTTTCCCTCTTAGCTCTCAAAATCTGATATTGGAAATTGGGGTGGGTCCTTTTTGTGAGGGGTAGGGTTCCAATTTGTCCTCATCCCCGCCACAACCCTCTACTCATCTCCTCATACACGACTTTCTCTGTAGCGACCAGTGCGCGACTCCATGCCAGACCATCCCGAGTTTCAGGAGCAGGAGCAGCAGGAGGAGGAGCAGGAGCAGGAGGAGGAGCAGGAGGAGCAGGGGGATCAGGAGGAGCAGGAGCAGGAGCAGGAGCAGGAGCAGGAGCAGGAGGAGCATCACCACTACCTGCAAGAGAAGCAGGAGCAGCACAGGGGTAGGTAGTCTCCTACACAGAGAGAGAGAGGATAGCCTCGTAGAAAAAACTTCCACTTCCTCTGAATTCGAAATCTTACCACTTCAAGATGGTGAGTCATGTGATGGGATCCTGGACAGGATGCAAGCAGACAAGAATGAACTGACGCCGCAAGAGCTCGCATGGTTCCGCGAGCTCAAGCTCCTTTGCGAGACTCATCATATGGAAGTTAGCTCTGACTACGAGGTCAACCTCCGATCTTCTTTTGCCTATCGTGATTTTTCCTTTTGCATGCAGATAGCATGTTATGCGCTCGTCTGCAAGGGGAGTACAGTGAAGGCGTTGTCCCGCATGGCGAAGATGAAGAAGCTGGAGGTTCAAGTGTACTCGCACGTTCTGCTACGTCTTGACGAGAAGCGGGAGGGCAGAGAGAGCACAACCTCTCCTCCATCGACTCCGTCACGGCCGTAAGTTTCTTGCCCTGCCTCTCAATCCTCACACGACTGCACAGTACCAGACACTTGCCAAGCTTTGTCCGGGGATGTTTGCAGCCTGCGGAAGGGACAAGCAAGGCAATGCTGATGTAACGCTGCTGCCACGGATAGCCTGCTGACGCATCTCAGGCCGACCTGCAATTTTCTTCGACTTCTCAAAATGCTTTCCATCGGCCATTTCAGGAGGCGGAGAAGAGGCCTGGAAGGTATTTGCCGCCGCTGCTTCCTCCATTCACTCACTCCCCTCCCTCCTCCCGCCAGTGTACCTTGAAAGTTCTTCTCGATGCGTTCGACGCCTCCACTGCCAGCATTCATGACGTGCGGGAAGGGACTTCATGGTTGTGCAACTGCAACGGGATGGGTTGGAGCAACTTCAGGTTGGTGTACTGCGTCCACCTCCTCCATTCACCTCCCCCGTCTCACCTGCTCCTTCAGCTTTGAGATGGAGAAGAAAATCAGTATGCTGTATCAGGACGGCTATCCGATCAAGATCAAGGCCATGTAGCAGATCCTCCTGTTCTCACTTCTTGACCTCTCTCCTCTCCTCTCCCCTCCTCTTCTCTCACCTCACCTCACCTCACCTCACCTCACCTCCTCTTCTCTCCTCTCCTCTCTTCTCCCCTCTTCTCTCATCTCATTTCCTTTCCTTTCCTCTCATATCCTCTCACCTCACCTCTCTTCTCCTCCTATGTTCTCTCCTCATCTCTTTGCCTCGCTTCCCTTCCTATCTCCTCTCATCCCATCCCTTCATGCTTCGATCCCTGTCCGTGTCTATCACTTTGCCCCTCTGAACCCAACTTCGTCCTCCTCAAGGTTTAGCTGCTCGCAGGTATCTGTCAAACCCGCCTTTCATTCTCAACGCCATGATCAGCATATGCAAGGTCCATCCGAACCCTCAATAGTCCCAGTCCTCACACCAGATGTTTTCCCCTGGCTCAAGGTTTTCCTCAAAAAGAAGCTGCAAGAACGTATCAAGACTGTGAGCTGCTGCTTCATCCTCATACTGATCTCCCTTTGTGTACCTTTCCCTCTTCCTCTTCCCCTCCGACCCCTATATCGTCTCCTCCCCCTGCATCCTCGCTCTACCGTCCCCTCTTCCCCCTTCCCTGTCACCCTCTCCTCCCCCTCCTCCCTCTCCCTCTCCTCTCCCTCCCTCTCCCCTTCCTCTTCCTCTTCCTCTTCCCTCCTCTTCCTCTTCCTCTACCTCTTTTTCCTCTCCCTCTCCCTCTTCCTCTCCCTCAACCCCTCCCCCTCCCTCTTCCTCTACCTCTACCTCTACCTCTCCGTCTCCGTCTCCGTCTCACCCTCTCCCTCACCCTCTCCCTCCCTCAACCCCTCTCCTTCCTACTCACGATCCTCTACTCAGATCCGCCAGGATCGAGCAAGCGACTTCTTCGAACAGCAGAACATCCCCCAAGTGCTTGCCGGAAGCTTCCAGGTCAAGTACGAGGATTGGCTCAAGGTGAGGAACTTCGGAAGGCAACGAATTGAGCTCCGCTCTTTCCCCGCCTCCTCCTCTCCTGACATCGTGCACGAAGGACCAGCTTGCAACCCGTCAAAAGTCTGTAGCGGCCTTCACTGCCCAGGTTGCTCCTTCCGCGAGCTGAAACCCGGTCAAGACTGTCGGAGTCTTAACTCGGAAGTGAGGAGTCCGACCGTACTGGCAACGCTATGGCACTGCATCGATTATCACAGTGACTTGAGGGCCTCCCGGGCCGCCCGCTGCCGCCGGGGGCCTGCCAGATCGGACGTTCCGAAGTTCAGTTTGTCACGTCTTGCGGTCAACTGGCAATGTACAATAACTCAGCCTAGTGCCAACAACATTACGTAATCTGAACTTTAAATTTACTCAAAGTTAAGTGAAAAATCAGTAATCATGGCAGGAGTCCGAGCCCGGTAGCCGCCCGGCCGTGGCAATGTACCGGGCCGCGGCGCCCGGCCGTGGCAATGTACAGGGGCCGGGCCCGGTGGGCACTCAGGCCAGCCGACCGTCGGAACGTTCCGTCCGATCTGCAGCCGCCGCCGGCCGGGCGGATGCGCCGGCCGGGCGGGTTCCGACAAAGTCCGACGGTCGGAGCCCGGCCTCTCAGGCTGGTCACAGTGCCAGACGGTGTGTGACGCTGGGACTCGACTCGGAATCGCCGGGGCCCGGCCCGGCCCGGCTTACCCGGGCCGGGCGTGGGGGCACCTGCTGACTCGGAGGCCAGCTGGGACGAGAGTCTGGCAGTCACGGCAGGCGATATTATTAGTATTATTATTTAAATCTTTACTTTTTTACTCACTCAGCAGTAAACTCGCGGTGAAGTTGTAGTCCAGTACCGGTGGGCTAAACAAAGAGTACTTGGCAGGGGTACTTGATAATATGTCTGTCGGGAACTGTCCCGAGTGTCTCGAAAAGTATGCTTTTCGTTCTCAAGAGATCAAAAAAAAATTGAGACTTGGTACCCTACCCCAGGAACAGACTAGTGTAGCCTTTTTTCAACAACCCCCTACCCGACAGCCATCGTTCCACTACTACCCCTTGGTTGCTATGTCAAGAACCCCTATTTTTACTACCCCCACCCCCTCGATCTAGACATATCGACGTGGATCCGCTCAGACGTCAGCAATGAACCCCTAGATTTCACCCCACCCCTTTCAGATTATCTCGTCGTCCCCTACCCCACCCACCCAGAAACCAATCAATGTACCCCACCGTATTAGTATTTTCGGTTCTCCCACCCACACCCACCCCCTCTTATAGGTGAACAATTTCCATCCCCCGAATGCTGATATAAAATATTTCAGTCATATACTTGTACCGTTATAATTTGGAAAATAAGTAATCTATAAAATTATTTGGAAATAAACTACCCTACCCACCAGGCCCAGGGACCTTCCCCTTGTGCGGAGGAAAGGACCGGTCCTCCCTCCTGCGCTCACTTTCTCTATCCCTGCTCATTGTGCGCCTGCTTCTCCGCCCTCCATCCTCTCTCAACCCTAACACCTCCCTCCCAATATCCTCTCTGCTTCATCACTCTTGTTTGCTTCCTCTTGCCTCTCCTCCCCTTCCCTCGTCACTCGACTGAAAAAAACACTTCACTCCACTCCTCCCTCCCGCCTCCCACTCTGCCATGCTCTCCCGTTCGGAGCGGGTCCGCATAGACAAGGCAGAGCAAAGGAGACGAACTCGAGCCCTCGTTCTGCAACTGGACGCGCTCGTTCCCCTCCAAGATCGCCCTCTCTCTGCCGAGAAAGGCAGCCTTGCCTCGAGAAGGACGATAATGCAGCTACATGAAGACACTCTGGCCGCGGTCAAGAGCCTACGAAGGAGATTGGGCGGAGATACCAGGACCTCGCCGATCAAGGGAGAGGGAAGTGCGAGCAAAGAATGCAGTGCGAACGAAGAGGAGACGGCGATAAGAAGCCCAGGGGAGAAGTGTGCCAAGTCAGAGAGAAACAAGCTGCAAACGACTATCAAACTGGAGAACGGGGTTGACAAGGACGTGGCGGATGAAACAGCAAGGAACGGGGCGGGTAGCAAGGAGAGTTTTGTTGCCATACCCTTGGATTCAGTGATGGAGGGGATGCTTGAGAGTGAGATGCTGCTGCTCATGGAGGTGAACTTGGCAGACTGGACGGTAACGAGGATGAGCAAGGGACTGCAAAGATGGTTCTCCTGTCTACCAGCCCCAGGGCTTGTCGGGCAGTCGCTGCTGCGGTTTGTCCCTTCCCCTGAGCTTCCAGCCTTCAGGAAGTTTCTCATCAAAGACGGCCCGGTTACCCTGAGCGAGTTCTCGGCTAAGGTCCTCACCTTCGGTTCTCAAGCCTTCGAGTGCTTGCCCTGTAAGTTCGTTCCGACACAGCAACGTTGCTCGAGCATCGCTGTCTTCATCCTCAGCATCCCACAGCTGTGTCCAAGTCCAGTCACCAAGTTTCCCTCCAAGTTGATGTTCGACCTCCTCCGTGATCTCTGCGGGGTATTCGAATACGACGAGAAGGTTTCTCACCCGTTCCCATGGGTGGTGGACGAGGAGTTCAAGAAGCGGCACGAGCACATTCGCATGGCAGACCAGACGGAGTTCGGCTGGTGCCAGAGGTGCGTGAACGCGCTGCTCAAGATCGACATCGGCAAAGAGATCTTAGAGAAAATCATCAACGGGAAGGCGAACAATTATGATTCGTCCGAGGAGTGTGTGCTGAGGGGTGTGAACAAGATGACTCAGTTTCACATCATGCTCGACCTCAACCAGTCTGACACGCCTTGTGTCATCGTGCACACGAGGCTGAAGCTGCCGAGGGAAGCAGGGGCGTTCACAACGCCATGGTCAGAGCTGTACCGAGCGACGCTCAACGGGGAGCCGGTGAAGAAGTTTCTGTCCGACACAGGGTCGTACCTTCGCATCTACGCGCACAGGAACTCTGCGGCAGAGAGTCTGCACATGACGGCATTCCATGAGATTCCAGCGAAGGAGGGATGGGAATGCTTCCACAGGTCAGTCGCGACTGTCATGATCGCAGCCAATCTTTCTTCTGCACCATCATTTTTCCTCCTCTCCCCTCTCAGCTCCTCATCTCTTTTGTCGACCTTTGTTCTCATTTGAGAACAAGAACACTTCCACCCTCCCCCCTTTCTCCTCCATGCCCTCCCTCTCTTGCCTTCCTCTTGCTCCTTCTCTGTCTCTCCTCTTGCTCCTCGTCTGCCTCCTCCTCCTCTGTCTCTTCTCCTGCTTGTGTGCTTCCGACTGACTTTCTCCCGGCAGCAAGACTTGGACGATAACTCCCAAGGGCATGTCGTTCCAGGGAGACATCTTCTCCAAGGGTGACAAGGAGATTTGTACGTACAACTTCACGTTCAAGCGGGTGGAGGACCTTGACCGAGGACTGCTCTCCTCCCTCATCCAAGATGAATGAAGGAGGGAGAAGGGGAGGGAGAGGGGAGGAGAGCAAGCGGACGGGAGCGTGGGATAGGAAGGCAAGAATCAGGACTTGTGAAGGAGAACGCTGTGGATGGACGGGTCAACAATGAGAAGGAGGAGGAGGAGGAGGGAAAGGGATGGATCTTATAGCCCCCGGGAGTTGGTGTCGCCCTTTCCGTGAAGGATCTTTCAAGACTCTCCCTTCCTCTCAGGCTCTCCCGCCGTCTCTTCACGTCAGACTTGCAACCCTTCGTCCTCCCTCCTGCCCCCCTGAACCCTCGGCCGTGAGGTTGTCGAAGTTTTCCCGTCTGAGAACAGAAAGAGAACGAGAAGGAGGATGGAGAGCGACGGAGAAGTGGGAGATGAAAGTTACGGTGATGTACATACAGAGGAATGAACGATAGAATTTCTTCGCACAGAATCTCGTAACAGACATTCAGCACATGGGGCACCAGGAGGAGCAGGAGCAGGAGCAGGAGCAGGAGCAAGAGGCAGAGGAGGAGGAGGAGGAGGAGGAAGCAACATGCTCTTCTTTCCGTCCTCTTGGGCTTCTCCTCCTCTCTTCTCCTCTCTTCCTTCTCTCTTCCTTCCCGCAGCAGGAGTTGGAAGGATCAAACCAGGTCGCCCTTGAGCATGGGGACCGGGACCTTGTTCTGGGTCGCCGCTAAGGTCACCGTGTTGTGCATGAGCATGGCGACAGTCATGGGGCCTGAGAAAATATGAGGGGAGGGGGTCGATGGATGAAGAAGTAGAGCGAGAAGGGAGAGCGAGGGAGAAGAGCGAAGGGAGGAGGGAAAGCGAGAGCGAGAGCGAGAGCAAGGAGGGAGAGCGAGGAGGGAGAGCGAGAGCGAGGATGAAAAAGAGAGGGGAAGGGAACAACGAGACAAGGAGAAGTGGTTTAGGGGGGGCAGAGGAGGCAAGTTTGAATCTCACCGACTCCTCCTGGGACCGGCGTGATGAGCTTGGCCCTCTTGGCTGCCTCGTCATACTGGTGGCGAGTCAAGCTGAGCGAGGAGGGGGAGAGGGGGGGGGAGAAGGGGGGGGAAGTGGAGGAGAGTAACGGAAGGGGAGGAGGGAGGGGGGGAGCGAGATGATAGAAGAGGCGAAGGGGAAGAGAAGAGGAAAGGCTGAGAATGTCGGAGGACCTGAACGTCTCCGACTAGACGGTAGCCGTTCTTTTTGCTCGCGTCCTGTCCAGAAAGATACTCAGGGAGAGAGAGAGGTGGAGCGAGGCGAGGAAGCAGAGAAGAGGAGGAGAAGAGGGGAAGGGAAACAGAGGAGGAGGAAGAGGAAGAGGAAGAGGAAGAGGAGGAGATATGAAGATGAAAGGAGATGGCTGAGCAAAGGAGAAGAGGAAAGGAGAGGAGGGAGCAGGGGTTAGCGGAGCAGTAGAGGACCGGTATGGAGTTCATGCCGACATCGATGACGACGGATCCTTCCTTGATCCACGAGCCATCGACGAGGCTGAGACAAAGTCAGGCGAGGAGAACCATCCTGAGATGGATGCAGCAGCAGAAGCAGCAGCAAGATAAAGAGAGCAAAGGGATGAAGGAAGTTGAGCAGGAGCAGGAGCGGGTGTTGGTAGTGGGCATGACGACGACGAGGAGGAAGGAGGAGGAGGAAGAGCAGGAGGAGCAAGAGGCGCAGGAGCAGGAGCAGGAGGCATACCCAGCTTTTCCAGCCGCTACGACGAGGATGTCAGCTGACTTGACGGCACTCTCAAGTTCAGCCCGAGGAGTCTGAGAGTGAACAACCTGCAACGTCAACGTCAAGACGTCCTCCTCCACACTATCTCTTCCTCCCCTCCTTGATCTTTTCCTCCCCTACTTCATCCCTTCCTCCCCTCCTCGATCTCTTCCTCCCCTCCTTGATCTCTTCCTCCCCTCCGTGATCTCGTGCTGATCTTCTTGATCTCTTGCTGATCCCCCTCTCTCTCTGCTCCCTCCTGTCCTCCTTCTAAACTGCCTCCTCCTCTCCTTCCCCCGCCCTTTAGCACTCTTCCTCCCCTCCCTCCTTCTCGCACCTCTACAGTAGCGTTGGCCTTGAGGAGGAGGAGGGCCATTGGAATGCCGACGATGTTGGACCTGCCGACCACAACAGCCTTGGCTCCTTTCGTTTCCACCTTCTCCCTGCCGTTGCTGTTAGAAGAAGGCCATGAATTCTCCCTTGTTTCAGGGCAGGACGAGGAAGCTGAAGGAAAGAAAGAGAAGAAGGAAGAAGGAGAAAAAGAAGGAGGAAGAGGAAGAGAAGGAAGAGGAGAAGGAAGAGGAGGAGGAAGAGGAGGAGGAGGAGGAGGAGGAAGAGGAAGAGGAAGAGGAAGAAAAAGAGGAAGAGGAAGAGGAAGAGGAAGAGGAAGAGGAAGAGGAAGAGGAAGAAGAGGAAGAAGAGGAAGAGCAGGTAGAAATAAGGAGGAGAACAAGCTACAGCAGGACAAGAGCAAACATGACAGTGAAAAATGGATCGGCGGTCAAGCAGGAGGAGAGCAAAGGGAAAGAGTAACTGCTACGAGAAAGGAGACTGCGAGGAAGGAGGAAGGAAAGGGGGGGGGGGGGGGGGGGGGGGCTGGCCCAAAGCCCCCTTTTGATTTTCCTTTTTTCCCCCCGGGGGGTTTTGTTCCCCCCAACGGCTTTTCACTCCCCCAGGGCAGGAACCCCATTTTTGTTGGTGTACCCTCCCCCCCCTTTTCCTCAGGAAATTTTCCCCCCCCCTTTTTTTTCCTCCAAGGGCCTTCTAAACTGGAGCGGCCCCCCCGTCCCCCGGTTTTACCAAAACCCCTTTATTTCCCCCCCAAAATTTCTCCTCTTTTGGGGGGTTCTCTTTTGCCCCCCCCCCCCTTTTGGGGGCGGTAAACCCCCTTTTTCTCTGGTTAAAAAACTTTTTGTTCCCCAAACCCCGTGGTTTTTTTTCCTCCTCTCCCCCCAAAAAAAAAAACCCCGAATTCCCCCGCTT